CAGAAAGGAGCAGCAACTGGCTGTGGTTGAGACGGAAAGATTCTAGCTGGCTGTGTACAGGCCGCCACGCTACGGTTTCGTAGAATTCTTGAAAACTTGAAGAGTCTGTTGGTTTGTTTGTATACGTTCCTGTGGATATTGCGTGAATGACGGGTGGTTGGGCAGATATTGTGTTTTGCGGTAGGTGGTATGCCATACGGAACCGTTGTCCACTGAAACTGCATATTAACGCACCAGTGGGGCTCGACAGCCTTAGTCAAACGGGTTGGCGCGTATGGTCGGGTTGCGGAGAGATTGTGAGATTGTGGTTAGGTCTCAGCAGCAGGAGGGATGTAGAGGTCAGTAAGCTGGGCTGAGTTGAGAGGGGGACGGAGGGGGGTGACACTGGGACGCCAGAGTCACTGTCGAGCCCTCTTGAGGTGTCGTGGGCTAGTCGACGAAACACTGAGGACGGAAGGTGCCCACTTGAAGACCCTAGAGATGTCCCCTACTCGGTTCAATCCAGACGGTTGTCGTGCTGGTCCTGTAGTTGCAGCCGTCGCGTGTGCTAACGCGCCAAGTACACTGCTGCCGTTAACGCCGGACAGAACGGGAGTCACACCACCTTATGGAAAGAAGCGTAAATGGATGGAGTAGTTTACTGTAAAGCTACGTCTTAGTTTTGCTTATCTTGGCGAAAGCCGAGTACAAATCAGCATGAAGTTTTAACATCTACTCTCGTGTAATGGAAATCAATCAAAAATAGTATTTAACATCACTTAATCACTCTGAATATATTACTGTATTACGCTAACAAAACTCTTTTACGGGTTTGATCAGTGTCACCATGTGGTTTTGTGTCCTGTCATGTTTAGTGGTTCCCTGTCTTGTCATTAGTTTTCCCAGGTGTTTCCCATTTACCACGCCCCCTTGTTATCCTATCTAGCTCGTGTGTCCCTGATTATTTAAGCCCTGTGTTTCAGCCTTGTCTTTGTGAGTTCTTGTTTAATGTTTACGTGTATGTTGGTTGTTCTTGTATCCTGTTCCCGAGTCCTGTATCCAAGTTTAGTTTGTTAAATAAAGCGTGTGCTGCATTTGGATCCTGCTTCATCTCTGCCTCAACCGCACCACGTTACAGAAGAACTCACCGCATCGTGATCCAGCAGCCATGCCTTTCTGGAGTTCAGACGTCCAGATTCTCCGTCTCCGTCAAGAGAATCGCGCCATCGAGGAATATGTCGCAGAATTCCTTGAACTGGCACATCTCGTGCAAATGAGCACCCAGTGCTTGTTGATCTTTTTCCGCGGGGGATTATCGGAACCACTCCGGTCTCTGATGCCCGAACCTGATCCGCACGGGTCTTTAGAGTGGTATATCGACCTGGCTCGGTTGTGGAGCGGCTCTTCGTTTACCGTGGGCGTGGAGAAGCTGCGAGAGCCTGCGCTTCACATCAGCCCGGTCGCGCCCGCGCTCCACAAGCCTGCAATTCACGTCTGTCCAGCCGAACCCGCGCTTCACGTGAGCCAAGTCGAGCCGGCTTTTCACGAAATGCCTGAGCTTCTTCCCGCCGAGACCGACATGCCTGAGTTTCTGTCTTCCGAGCCCGCGACTAACGTCTGCCCCGCCGAACCCGCGGTTCACGAGTCAAGTCCCGAGTCAAGTGAGTCAAGTCCCGAGTCAAGTGAGTCAAGTCCCGAGTCAAGTCCCGAGTCAAGTCCCGAGTCAAGTCCCGAGTCAAGTCCCGAGTCAAGTGCCGAGTCAAGTGCCGAGTCAAGTGCCAAGTCAAGTGCCGAGTCAAGAGCCGAGTCGAGTGAATCTAGCCAAGTGAGCGTATCAAGCCCAGTGACTCGCCGTCGCAGGAGGAGAAGGAGGACTCGTTTGGTTCGCCAGGCTCCGGTGGGCGTTCCCAGACGCCTCGCCCTGCCGGCCCCGCCTCTGCGCCAGGCCCTGCCGGTCCCGTCTCTGCTCTTCGCCCTGCCAATGTCTCTCAAGCGCCATGAGACTGTCCCAGAGTCCGTTGCCAGCCCGGAGGTTGTCCCCCTAGGTTCTCCCAAGTATTTTTTTGGGGGGGGGGGGGGGGCAGTAGGAGGTCCCACAAGAGGGTCATGGAGGCAGCGCTGACATGGACCTTGTCGGCGCTATCTCCTCCTGAGCCTCCTATGCCCTCGTCTCCTGCCAAGCGTGCTCCGCCCTGGCCTTCGCCTCGTCCTGCTCCGCCCTGGTCACCGGCCCAGTCTGGTCCGCCCACGCTCTGCGGGCCAGGCCCGCCTTGCCTAGGTCCAGGTCCCGTTCCCCTGCATGGGCCTGGCCCCCCATCCCTCCCCCAAGACCGCCCTCCTGGACTTTTTTGTTTGTTTTATTGGGCTTCAGGAGCCTCCCTTAAGGGTTATGTATCGGTTATGTCACGATGTGGTTTTGTGTCCTGTCATGTTTAGTGGTTCCCTGTCTTGTCATTAGTTTTCCCAGGTGTTTCCCATTTACCACGCCCCCTTGTTATCCTATCTAGCTCTTGTGTCCCTGATTATTTAAGCCCTGTGTTTCAGCCTTGTCTTTGTGAGTTCTTGTTTAATGTTTACGTGTATGTTGGTTGTTCTTGTATCCTGTTCCCGAGTCCTGTATCCAAGTTTAGTTTGTTAAATAAAGCGTGTGCTGCATTTGGATCCTGCTTCATCTCTGCCTCAACCGCACCACGTTACAATCAGGTAGAAAAAGCAATTTCATGATTTCTTTCATTAATATTTTTATATTTTGGCTTTATATTGGCAGTTCGCCACCCTGCTCTTTAAATATCTGTATCGCATCAGCCATTAATAACCTGTCGGTTGACCACTACTTCAAACATGTCTTCAGTCTCATATCTGCTGAAGACATGTGTATTATCAGCTGTAATTATTTGAGACCATAGTTCCCTAGAATTGTATACTAAAATAGTGAATTATGTACGGTCAGAATAGATTTCCTTTTTTGAAAATTATTAAATAAAGCTATTGACAGAATGTTACCTCAGCACTTTGTAGTACTAATGTTGATTGACACTCTCATGACTATACTGATAAGAACAGTATATCAGTTACTGCCCAGACACACACACACACACACATCTGTTGTCTGTCATAGTGCATAGACATTCATTATTGATGGTTAGCATCATGCTAATGGATCTCAGAGGGCAGGGATCAGGAGAAGAGTAGACTCAGAGGGAGAAAGGCTGAGTGGACGGGATTTAATCTGCTGGAAATGCTCCCATCATAGTCTCCTAAATAAAGCCCCAATAACTGGCCCCCAGAAGCCAGAACATTACCCCCTTATCATTAGGGCCATTAGCAGCTCCGGCACACAGGGGAACCCATAATGTGCAACTCTATTTGTCCAGCACAAAAACAAAATAACATTTCATCCACGTTGATGGATAGATCTAAGGGTAACTATGGCATTTACTGAAACATTTGGTAAGGTATGGGATACATGGGGCGATGTGCCTTAAATGTGCCTCAAGGGTTGTGCAGTCACACACACACACACCTAACACACGCGCAAAATAGCGTCCTGAATAATTTAGTGATAGCTAGACCTCTATCCTCTAATATAACTGAATAGGATATCGATGATGGATGATCGGAATACAATACCATAAGCATGCAGCATTTAGATATTTTCTCTCCATTTGCAATATCGACATCATAATTTAGATTCTAGATATCTATGAGAACACATGCGGTCAAAATACGATGCATTACTTTCTTTCATCCTTACTTTCTAAAACTCTAAAATCTAAAACTCTAAAATGGACAGCCAATGAAGACCATAGGTTAGCAATATGCAAATTTGTTACAAACCTACATAGGTTCATGCCGGAAGTAAGACTGGAATTACTGACGCCTCGTTTCAGGCAGGTCAGAATAAGACAATAACTCAATTTATTGTACACTTTGATTTTTTAAAACTTTGGAGACATTTTACATTCACAAACACTGCATGAAAGGTAATATTCGATAAAGCATATTAGGGGCACTGTTTTAGTATAACCATGTCTAACTGTATAAAATGTCTTTATTATATATTATATTATATTATAGTATATTATACTATGTTTGAATGTCATTCTATAGAATGGTGCCATTTAGTATTTTAGAAATCATATTTTTCTACCACAGCCCCAAACTGGACCCATAAGACATAGACATTGAAGGCCCACCAATATTCAGATTATTGGTCAACAAATATATATATATATATATATATATATATTTTTTTTTTTTCAGGTGAGATTATTTAACTATTACGAAATTCGTGGTTGCATTATTGGAAAGTACAATAGTTATTCATTGTTACTAACCCTAAGTCCATACATTATTTTAAACATGCACAGTAGTTTTCAAATTTATATAATTAAAATTTGCTGTGAAAATTCTGGAGTAACAATTTTATTTGATAGTGCACTAAGTAACTACCAGTCATTAGTGTGTTAGTAGATTGTCTGCTTAATATCTGCTAAAATTTACATTTATGCATTGGGCAGACACTTTTATCCAAAGCAACTTGCATTGCATTTCAAGGTACACATTTACATTCTTATCAGTTCTTGCTTTCCCTGGGAATCGAACCCATGACCATGGCGTTGTAAGCGCCAACGCTCTATTGTTTGAGCTACAGGAAAGTTTATTTTACACCTTATTTTGATGCTCCCCAACAGACATTCTACTGAGTCTGATTTAGTTGTTTTAGAAATGAAAAGGGACACACTCCATCAATTAGGGTTAGAAGAACTGTTGCCAAACATATAACATGCTAGAAACATAAATATCACTGCAATAATGTTCCAATCATAGACTCTTAAGCATTTGCATATTTAAATCCAGTGGCAGTATATACGTGTTTGAACTATGAGGTCAAAAGACTCCCCAAATATGATGTCAGAGATATCAAACTATTGTCTATGGTTTTACTTTCAGTTAACGATAATAACCCTGAAATGCACAACTACAGACTTTGTATGTTCAGAGAGATTGTCTTTTTTAACCTTTTCTTCTTTTGTCTTCAGGTGAGACGTTCTCTGAGAACTTCAGCCACACGGAGAAGTGCCAGCCTTGCACACCATGTTCTGAACTCATGCGCATGCTGGAGCCCTGCACTGACGCCAACGACGCAGTGTGTGTCTGCGACTATGGGTTTTTCTTCAGCGACGTGACAGGGCGCTGCGAAGCCTGCACAGTGTGTCCTGTGGGCAAGGGTGTGCTGATGGGCTGTAGTTTTGACCGTGACACGGTGTGCGAGGAGTGCGTGGATGACACGTATTCAGACCAGGAGACATCTTTCGACCCCTGCCTGCCCTGCACACAGTGCGAACAGCCTGACATGGAGTTGGAAAGCTGCACTCCTTTCCGTGACGCTGTCTGCCAAGGTAAGACAATCGAGATTCAAAATCAAATAAAAACTATAAATAGATGGCTCACCATGACACAATGTGACAAATAGTTTTCTGTTACTCTCTTGCTTGTTTTTAAAATCAGTGGTCAAAAATGACCCCATGTGATGGCCCACAACGGCTCTGTTCTCTGGAGATGACAGTTAAAGTCAAATTATGACAACTAGATTTTTACGTTTGCATGCAAGTCACCACTATGTTACTAGGTTATTGGATGGTTTTTAGCATTTTTGGTAACACTTTATTTTACAGTGTCCTTGTTACACTTGTTACATGCAGTTACTATAAGTAATAAGTATAAATTATGCATAATTACATGCAACTAACCCTAAACCAAATTAAACCCTAATCCTAACTAACCCTATAAGTGTATGTAGTTATTCAGTACTTAAAAGTATAATTACAGTGTAACAAAGACAACTCAAAATAAAGTTTAACCCCAAACCCTCATCCTAATCCTAACCCTATATTAAGTACATGTAGTTTATTATTACTCAGTACTTAAATGTATAATTACACTGTAACACGGACACCTTAAAATGAAGTGTAACTGCATTTTTTTGTGTTGCTGCCTATGTGGTTGCTAAGGCGTAATATTGTACTACCACTGTTTTACCTGCTGTTGATGATATTGATGAAATTTGATCTTTCACTTCTTTCACAAAATGAAATATCATAAACAGTCTCCAAAACACAGAAATGATTAACCATCTGCGAAGGATAAGGATTTCACAACACAGTACTTCCAAAACTCTGTAGTATACAATATTTGTTATTATTTTAGGAGCTCATGTCACAACAATATGTAAACAAATATTTCATACGTTTAATACATGCTCATTAACGGTTTATAGCTACATTAGGCCTACTAGTAAATCGTTTGGACTACTACGATATTTTAAAATGTGTTTGAAAGATATTTCTTATCCTCACCAAGTCTGCATTTATTTGAAGAAAAATACAGTGAAACGGTTGCATTGTGAAATGTTGTTTCAATTTAAAGTAGCTGTTTTCCGTTTGAATATATTTTCAAATGTGATTTATTCCTTTGATCAAAACTGAATTTTCAGCATCATTACTCCAGTCTTCAGTGTCACATGATCCTTCAGAAATCATTCTAATATGCTTAATATTTTTTTGTGGAAACTGAGATAGGCCTACACTTATAATGGGATACAGGAAAAAATTACATTCTAAAATGTATTTTAATAATTTTTTATAGTATTATTGTTATTATTATTATTAATGAATTTTTCATCAAATAAATGCAGCCTTGGTGAGCATAAGAGACTTCTTTTTAAAAAACAAATTGTAGTTATTCCAAACTTTTGACCGGTAGTGTAGGCCTACATATTTTATTATGTTAAAAGCTGGTCTGTTATGTTTTTGTCATTTTACAGTTTGGCTATTTACAATGAATAAAATTAAGTAAGGTGGACTTAAATTAATATAAAACAATATATATATTGACATAAATTAAAGGATTTTTTGTGAAAAGACAAAACTATGACGAAACATGTGACTTACCTTTTGCGATTGCCCAGATTACTGAACTCTCTGCTTAATGTCAGATGCTCTTGGCGTAGCCAGAAACCTAATATTTGTCGTCTTATTGCTGAGCTGAACTTAGCTGTGAATAAAATTAAAACAGTATCTTGAGCAATGGATCACATTCAAAGATCTTCAGTCAACATTACAGGCTTTGTTCTGGGTCGCTTTCAGAAGTGGATCAGAGAAAGAGGCTTTTGTACACAGTATGTTTTTTTGTAATGGCAGAACTTGGGCTAAGTGCAATAGGGTCCATAAATGGATTTTCAATGTACTTTCTGAATGTATTCTCATTATCGCATTACACACAATATATATATATATATATGAGGTAATTTTGAGTATTTATGCAATCTGTGATTCAGTAGAAAGGTGTTTTATTATCAGCTTTAAAGTAATTTTATTACTTTAATACATACAGTGTGATGTCTCTTAAAATCCATGAACCTAAGTATAACTTAAATATCCACAAACTTAAGTAGGAACAATACGAATAACAAAAGCTGCCCTTATCATACCGCCACTTACTCTAGTATGGAAAACTTTGGAAAGTAAGAAAATAAACTACATTTCTAAATTTCTAACTTCTATATTTTTCTAGATTTTATTTGACATGTAGTTAATTGTCTTAAACAAATATTATTAATGCCATTGCCAATAGCTAATCAGCTAACATTAAACACTGATAATGTGGTTTGGATCTGCCGAGGCGTGTGTGTAGGTATGCATGCCTGATGTTTATCTGTCAATGATCAACATGAGATTTTCTCTGACCCCGTCTGACCTCTTGCCGGGGTCTTAACATGAAGGTGAGAGGTCATAGGTCATGGGTGGCTACTGATTTTTAGTTCATCCTGGGTTCTATAAACATGGAAATCTCCAGAAGACAGCAAATAAAACGTGTTTTTTGTTGTCCACTTCAATGAAGTGAGGCGTCTGTTTCAAATAAAGAACGTTCATATGTTCATATGTATCAGGAACATTAGAACATTTCCTAGACTACCTTATGTAGCCCCTCCCCTTTTCAGCGCTGCACTCATTGTGTTCTGTCTTCCGGTTTGTATTTCCACAGCAAGATCTTAAGATCTTACGGATTTATAAATGAAGCTCTCATTTTAAAATCCCCCGGTCTACTGACATATGTTGTGATGATATCCGCTTCAAACATTACAATGCTCATGATAACTTTCGTTTACTCTACAATAAGTATCTTCGAAAGGGATGCCGTAGAAATATACAGACCTAATATTCAAAGACAAAATTCTAAAGATGGCTGCATGCTTGTTTCTCTTGCGCATAAGGTCTATAGGGCTGCAGAAATATAAACAATCTGAGGGTTTTCACACCTGAGTCCTTTTTAAAAGAACCAAACTCAGATCTCTCGAAGTGGAACAAGTGAAAACAGACTCAGATCTCTTTACTGTCCCTGCCCCTGAAAGTCTATTTTCGGTCTACTTAAAGGCACAGTATGTAAGAATTTTGCATTAAAAAATCAACAACAACAAAAAAACACTAGAACAATGTTATATATTTTGTTCACTTGTTTACATTATCCCAAATGTTTCCAACAATGTTTAAATCCAGAGAAATTCACAATTTTAACTTCCCTCCTCATCGCGTCACCTGTCAATGTCTGCATTATCCTCGGTTTCCGCTTTTACTGCCGTAGAAACCATGGCAACACAGTGAGTCTCGTGAAAAAATGTGGAAGTCGTAGTTGTAGCATTAGCACGCCACTCTGTTGCTGTTATCGTTTGCAGCAGGTTCTGAGGCAAAAGATAACTCCAAGAACGTAAACGTACAGGTTAATCAAATAATTTGGAGAGATCTTCAAACAGAATTAGCCGTGATGAATAGTGCGATTTGTATGGAGGCATCCGATGACCAAACGAAATGGTAATTTGTGAATCGGGAAAATCAAGTGAGCCAAGAGCGCTCAGACCCCTGAAGAGGACCAAGTGTGAAAGCACCCAGATCTTCAGATTTTTTCTTTGCTCTAATGGGAGATTAGTCATGTGTGAGAACAGGCACCATGAATGAAGTGGCGTGTAATTTCATTAAAAAGCATGAAGTTGTCTTGGTGTGTGGTGTGTGTCAGAGAGCCCCATAAATCGAGTGAATCCTTCAAGAAAAGGTCACATTTCACCCAAAATCAAAAGGATAAAAAAAGAAAGAATTTGGCAAAGAAAACAGAGCTTTTTGTTAAATTATTATTATTATTTTTTTGCAGCGCGTGACAGTTCTTCTTACCATAATTTATCAGGAAGTTTCACTTTGAAGGTTTTGTTGTCATTGATGATTCTCATTAAACTGTCATTACTGTAATACAGTCATTTTGAACCCATACAAACGCAATACAAATACATAACAAATACATAAACAGTATAGTATTTTTTCACATTACATTAATGACAATTTTTGCATTATGGTAATGAGAATGGAAATGGGATTAATTGTTGTGAAAAAATAATGTTCTAACTTTAGAGCTGAAAATTATATTTAAGATTAAATGTTAAAAGGAAACTTGATTAAACTTAAAGCAAGAGGATAAAAATTGATTTACATAAAAATTAATAATCTTAATAAATTTGTTATAATTTTCATGTTATATTTAAAAAAAAGAAGATAATCAGAGATTATCAAAACGAAACTATGTACAAATTGATTGAACAAGCATCATAAACAAAAATGCAGACTGTAATATTGCCTTATTGATTTTTTACAAGAATTCTTTTTGCCATTATTTAAAGCTCATTTAAATTCAAACTTAAATTTAAGCTTTATAATCACTAACACAGTTGATGATTCTCATTACTGTCATACAGTTATTTTGAATCAGTAAAAAGGCAATACCACAAATACTGACATGAAAATACAAAATAAATAGTATTATTATTTTTTTCACATTACAGTAATGACAATATTTCCATTTATGGGAATGGTAATGGGACTACTTATCTTAACTTAAGAAATAATGTCACAACTTCAGAATTGAAATCTAAATATTTTGGTATAATTTTAGATGTCAGTATAGATGTATTTGTAGATTTTCGAGATATTATAAAATGTTAAAAATGAAACTTTTCATAATGTATTTTTCACTAGTGATTCATTTTTGTAAGTGGCCATGAGACACTGCAGTGTGTGTGTGTGTGTGTGTGTGTGTGTGTGTGTGT